CAATATTAGCTACTCAAGTCTGAATAGCTTGATGAAAAATTCTGATGCCTATAAAAAAAAAAGTCAACAACTCACTGTGCGTTTAGAGTTAACCCTCCATTTCAAATCTCGTAAGTATAGCGTAGAATGTTGATAAAGCATGATAATGTGAAAAATATATCTGTAATCTCTATCTACAATTTAGTCTCTACGGAGTGACACCACAATGAGATCTCGCACCACCTCAAAATCTTCCTAGGGTAGCCTCTGGTTTGGCCCGTGGAAAAAGTTTTCTTTCCAATTCAGCCTGGGGGCAAAAACAGTTGGCCACCCCTGGTATGGGATGTCATTGGGTTTCATTTTCATTTTCATCTCATAAACATTGCTGGTACATTTCTGGTTGATATGTTTTTCACTATTTGGCACATAATGTGTCACAATCATTGGGGTAGTGTAGGAATTTGAGAAATGTAGTGGTATAAAATGATAGTGCAGGTGTTAGACTCTTATTAAACTTACAGTTTTAACATGGACATAATATTTATTACAGTGGAATCTGGTTAACTTGAATAGGTTTGGGAAAAAAAATTCAGACTTTGAGTTAAAACATTTGAAGTTAGAGGTTCGGCTAAAAATCAAGATTTTGTGCATCATATTGGTGATACAAAATAAACTAGCCATGTGATATTTCCATGGGTCTTATTGTGTAGAATCATTACATCGTTGGAAAATCTGAAGAACAACTCTTGAAGGAGTTTGAAAACATTTGCTGTTTGTTTATTTGTATTTTTGCACTGGCTATTGGATCCAAGTATGTTATTAATTTTACTTGTTATTGACATTTACAATCTTTTTTTTTATTTTAAAGTCAAGCCTTTGGCTATCCTCAAAAATAAAACCTTTTTCTAACTTTTAAAAATACAATTGAAAATAATTGGACTTTCCTGTTACCCTTGTTCAAGTGCTAGAAAAGCTATACAAGAGACCTTACCACTTTTTTTCATTTACTTTTGTTTGGAAATTCACTTTGCTTTTAAGCATTTGTTTATATATATAATATATATAAAATATTTAATACTTAACATATACAAGTATCTCAACCTGATAAATTTGAAATATGCCAAACAACTATTGGATTATATCAGGTAGTTGTTTGGCATATTATATACAGTGGATGATCGGTTAATGAACAAATCGGATAACGAACACTTTTGCGAAAGATTTTTATGACCTGACATGATCGAATAATGAACACTTCACTGAACAAACATAAAAAGAAGCGACGGAAATAGCAAATACCAATTGATTTTCCTTTGTCTTCAAGTAACTTTTTGGAGCATGGGAGATATCAATGTCAATGCTCAACCCAATATATACTGATCAGTTAGTATTCCTTGAACTTTGAAATACTCCCTTGTAATTCCAGCCTTTTATTTTACTGACAAACAATTCTTTTATAGTATTCATGACACTGTTGGGCGGGCACTCATTAAGTTTTGCATCGGTTTTTATTTTTGAAAGGCAAGAGTATAATAGCAAAGGTAGAGAGTGGGGAGACGATGTCTGATGTTGCTGGGCAATATGGCTTGAACAAATCTACAGTAGTGTGCAGTTCAATCTTATCTAAGAAAGATACAGTATAATTAAGAAAACTCAAGCAGCTAAAGGAGTAACAAATATTACATCTGAGAAATAAAGAACATTGAAGAGTTCATAATGGGTTCAGATCTGACGACAGAAGAACACCAAGAAACTCAGCGAGATATGTTTTATTATGAAAAAGATGATTAATGACGATATCTGCTATTAATTAAAGATCTTTTGAAGAAGTGGGGAGATGTCAGATCAGTGGTCTTAGAATGGCATACAAACCAGGTTGAGGTTAATAGGCTTGGGGATCTCTACAATTACAATGTTATTAATTCTGAAAATCCTGAAGAAGAGAGAAAAGCAATCAACATTAGACAGATTATTTAACCCCCACAAACAAAAAACATGACTAATAAAAATGCAAGTTTGTGTATATATATATGTACCTATGTATTTTNAAATTCACTTTGCTTTTAAGCATTTGTTTATATATATAATATATATAAAATATTTAATACTTAACATATACAAGTATCTCAACCTGATAAATTTGAAATATGCCAAACAACTATTGGATTATATCAGGTAGTTGTTTGGCATATTATATACAGTGGATGATCGGTTAATGAACAAATTGGATAACGAACACTTTTGCGAAAGATTTTTATGACCTGACATGATCGAATAATGAACACTTCACTGAACAAACATAAAAAGAAGCGACGGAAATAGCAAATACCGATTGATTTTCCTTTGTCTTCAAGTAACTTTTTGGAGCATGGGAGATATCAATGTCAATGCTCAACCCAATATATACTGATCAGTTAGTATTCCTTGAACTTTGAAATACTCCCTTGTAATTCCAGCCTTTTATTTTACTGACAAACAATTCTTTTATAGTATTCATGACACTGTTGGGCGGGCACTCATTAAGTTTTGCATCGGTTTTTATTTTTGAAAGGCAAGAGTATAATAGCAAAGGTAGAGAGTGGGGAGACGATGTCTGATGTTGCTGGGCAATATGGCTTGAACAAATCTACAGTAGTGTGCAGTTCAATCTTATCTAAGAAAGATACAGTATAATTAAGAAAACTCAAGCAGCTAAAGGAGTAACAAATATTACATCTGAGAAATAAAGAACATTGAAGAGTTCATAATGGGTTCAGATCTGACGACAGAAGAACACCAAGAAACTCAGCGAGATATGTTTTATTATGAAAAAGATGATTAATGACGATATCTGCTATTAATTAAAGATCTTTTGAAGAAGTGGGGAGATGTCAGATCAGTGGTCTTAGAATGGCATACAAACCAGGTTGAGGTTAATAGGCTTGGGGATCTCTACAATTACAATGTTATTAATTCTGAAAATCCTGAAGAAGAGAGAAAAGCAATCAACATTAGACAGATTATTTAACCCCCACAAACAAAAAACATGACTAATAAAAATGCAAGTTTGTGTATATATATATGTATATATGTATTTTTATTATTACATATAAATAAACGTAGTAAGAAAGTATATATTTTTTATGTTTTGGGGTCTCCAGAACGAATTAATCAAATTCCCATACAAACCTATGCTAAATTGATAATCGGTTAACGAACAATTCGGATAGCGAACAAAGTCTTGGAACAGATTATGTTCGTTAACTGATCACCACTGTATTTAATACCATGCATATGCCATAATTAGAATAGATTCTTTCCCCTTTTTTGCTATGTTTGGGGAAATAATTTTCTCATCAAAAATTTTTTTTGAAAATTAGACAAATACCAATATTTATACATAGTGGTTTAAATCCACCTCTAAACTAATCAAGCAAGTAGTTTTGCTTTCTGTCAATAGATTGTGACAATCTATTGACAGAAATAATCTGTTTGTAATACAAAAACAACCTGTAACTGAAACCTATAATAAGTGAAGTTCTATAAATGTATTTAACTTTGTTTTGCGACATACTAATTCTGATAATATTAGAAGACCAATATATACTTATCATGATAGAGGTGGAAAACCAGGACTACTCAGAGGTATTGCCTGGGGTGAAAAGGTGAAAAAAGAGAGGGGAAGAGGAAGACAGGGAACAGTGAGATAGGATAGATGGTGAAAGAGGGAAGTCATGAGTACCAGCATCTCCTTTATTTTAAATACAAAAAACAATTTATAACTCGGAGAACATTATACTTGTATGTACAAGACTATAAGTATGGTGTGTTAACAATACTTTTACAGAACACATTTATGTCCTTGAATACATGTAACAAGTTTGTTGTAACTGTTGTGGTACATTTTGCTTGTTTCCTTTGAAAGTTATTGTTGGTTTACCCTGTTTGCAGTTTACATGTCAGAATTCCTTCTGTATGTAGGTAATCCAGTTGCACCCTGTTTTATAGTTCGGTTACACACTAATCTTGAATTGTTCAGTTGCATACTATTGAATAGTTGAGTTATGCACACTTGTTGAATGAACACTGAAACACATACTTTATATAGGTCATCTTGTTGCACATTGTTGTATAGTCTGATTGCATTAACCATGAGTAGTTCAGTTTTCTACTACCCGTGATGATTCAGTTGCACACAGTTGGAGAATGAACACCAGAACACAGACTATATTTGGATAGTTCAGATGTACCCCATTGAAGAGTACAGTTGCTAGCTGACTGTGAATAGTTCAATTGCACACTGTTAAAGAGTACAAAACTGGATGTGAGTTCTGTTGCATTTTAGCTGTGGGTAGTTCAGTTGTGCAATAGCAATATCATATAACAATACAATATAGTAAGTAGACCTTATCACATAATAAAATTAGCCTAATAATAAAATTTATTCTACATTGGCATAACTGACTGAACTCATTGGTATGAAATGTTTGTGTAGAAGTAGAAATCAGACTTATTATAGAAAAACAAAATTGTACAGTTGAAAGAGGATGTTGAATACATTACTAGGAAAATCCAGAAACTCAAACCCTTTACACCTATACAACAAAAACATCTGAATAAATGATTTTATGCATCACTGTATGTTTTCAAATATGCTTGTTATTTATTCACATTATTTTAAATATGTGATGATTTTAAATTGCAAAAATTATGGAGTATGTTGCTAAGCAATAAAAATGTCAGACTTGGAATACTGAAGGCAGTTAGGAGTGAAGCTTTTTGTACATACTGTAAAATATTCTGATATATATTTACCATATATTTTGAATACTGTCTAGGTTTTTATAAAGTGTATAAAAATTCAAAATTTATACCTAATGTTAAAAATGATCATTAAAGGGATTTCATTTTTGAATCACTTGAATTCAAAATGTAACTTAAGTTACTTGTATTATGACATTAATTAATTAAAATTTTAAATTAAAAAGTGTTCTGTTTAAAATATATTTTTAACTTCACTCACTTATTTGTGTTATTTATAGAAGCTGCTCAAAGTACTTTACAAGACATCAAACTTCCAGAAAGTGCAGGAGGTTATGCATATCAAGAAAGCTGTTTTCTGTCAACCCCCACAAGCAATCGTTACATATATTGGTAACTAAAATTTAATTTTTTTTACATATAAATAAACAATTTAAGCAATTCTTTAATATAGCTATTTAATTATTAATTTTATTTAATAAAAAGGAATATTTTAGTTAAGATTTATTTTCCATTAATGTATAGTGTTTCCCAAAATAAGAATGGAGTCAATGTGCTGGATCGTGAATGTGTGTGTTACTCCACCACCATTGCTACGCAACAAAAATTCTTTGAAATATTATGCTTGAATTTTGAAAAAACAAATGTTAAAACTTTAAACATTTTATCATATGGTATTTTTGTTTTTTGTGACTGAAGGGTCAGCACTGGGTCAGCGATGCCTACATCAGGACTGACATCATTGTTGCTCAACATGAGCATAGAAGGTTTTGCTGCCTTGCAAGCAGTCACATACATAAGTGGTTGGATTCAGGATGGAGGAGACTGTGTACATGAAAGACGTGCACTCTACAACTCATTTAGCAATAGTGGATCCCATACTGAGAGAGAGAGAGAGAGACAGAGAGTTTACATGTGATTGCGAGTTGCTAAATATCTGAAGTTGTACGTTCCTTGGGGAGTTGCGTACACTTGCACAGGTGGACTTGTCCCGAGAATGGTATTGTCCTTGGCAGGTAGGATTTTGGTCATTGGCTATCAGGGCAATGATGATGTAGATAGGCGGTATATCCAAATCTGGAGTGAACACTCAAAGAACAAACCCTACTGTCATCTTTGATCTTTCTTCTTTTATTTGGGGGGTCTTTCCCTTTAATTTCAATAACCTTTTTAGGATATGTTGGTTGGTTAAACCAATAACAATTTTTTTTTGCTATGTTCCCAACACATTTAAAAGTGACACATTCAGATGTGTCATCTCTGGACAAGGAATCAAGTCTGTGGGGAAATGGAATCACTTCCTGCTACTGCAATTGAGAGTTAAAATTTTAGCAGAATTATTTAAGTAAATTTTTTCTATTTAGCTTGAGTTCTCACGTTTTCATAACCTTAGATTTCTTGCAAAAAGATCAGAAATTTCAAATAGATTATAATAGTTTAAACATACTTTATCGTATAATGTAATATCATATACAACAATCTAATTCAGTTAGTAATGCCAAATACTGTTTGACTATATTATGGAAATATTGGCCTTAATATAGCCCAATAAATAATCTAGTGGATCATTTGGCAATATCTTACAATTTAAATACAAAGTTCATCAACACCTAAACACCAGGGTGAAAATTATCACTACATCAGGTAGCCTGGTAGACCCTCATAGAAGCCAACACTTAATTATCATCCACCCATGAATGCACATTCCCATAGCAACGGATTTTATCTAATAGGAGTTCAATTTATTTTAAATATTCACGTTCCATCAAATTTTACCTGAAGAAGAACTGTTTGAAAGCGTTTGTGATAAACTGTATTTTCACTTAGCACACTGATAACAGATTCATGACGTAGTGATAATCTTACAATTTGTTAATATATGTTCTACATATACTGTATTATGTTTTACTTTATAATGAACATGGAACTGTTTTCGTTCGCATTTGTAGACTAATGAACATTGGCATCATCCTTACTCTGGGAAAGACTATAAATCATTTAATTATTTATACTTCTAATAGATCGAAGTAATATAAAATTATTCTAATCATTAATTAAACTTTTTAGCTGTTAATCAAGAAAAATTTGATAAATCTTTAATGTTCAGTTTGTGTATTAACTAGATCATTCTTATTATTATCCTTATCACATTTTATTGATAAGACTGTGTCTTGTTTATAAAATCATACTGCTGGTTTATGTTACCGGCTTAGAGGTATGAAGTAGTACAGGTAGAGAGTTGATATTTGGCACAGAGTATTAGGTGCCCAAATCATTTGCGCATAAAAAATCCAGACTTGTAGGTAGTCAAGGGACCGAGAACTGAGTCAAAATAAAATACAAAATGACGACCCTCTTCTACAAACAGGCAAAACACGCACCTCACCCCATCAAAGTCAGGTGGAGGAGAGTACCACCCACAGTCATTCTAAGAAGTGAACTCTGACCTTAGGACCTGAACACAGTTTCTTCTATGTTAAATAAAATTTGTAATCTAATTTTGTAAATTTGGGAGTGCTTCAAATATGACATTAAAACGGAGTGTTGTTACAAGTAGGTTTTTTAACATTATCTAGTATAGTAAAATCGTGGGACTGATAAAAATTTGATGTTATATTAGGGTTGTCATTACATTCAATGATGTTATAATTGGGTTAAACAGTATATTGTTTGTGCAAAATAAAAAAAAATAATTTCAGATGATACAATAGCCACGATTATTTTTTTCAAAAATGGGAAATTTTCATTACGCATCGACAAAAATTCAACCTGGGCCAACACGCAACGGAGAGAAATTTCGAAATTGGGTGGGTTAATTTCATTGGAAATGCATCGTGGATGACCTCATGGTTGCGGCTGGCGAAGTTTAAACGATCGCGCCCAAAAGCAGCGATACCAAAGAAGATTGGAGAATGAGAACAAGACCCACCTTGATCGTCAAAGTGATTCTGCTTAGTAGTGAGTCTCTGAGACATAGACTTGTCCCAAATACGGTTTTGCCGTTTTACTTGTATTATGTATTAAGTGTGATATGTAAGGAAAAATAATGCAGTTTAATTAATGTAACCAACCAAAAGTTTATTATTAAGAAACATTTTTGACTTTATTGAAGCCATCATCAGTTTTGCTCTATACTAGAACATTTTAAAACTCCATAGTCTAAATATTGTCCTACTAATGTTTCAAATTCAAATTTTAATAAAGTCACTATGGCCAGCATGGGCCTTTTCTAAGTGTCAACAAAACAGAATCAAATAAATATAAAAAAAAACATAGGCAAATAGCAAAATAAATAAAAATTAGCTGCAATTTAATATAATTTGCAATGAAGGATAGCATTTGAACAAGAGGAGATTAGACATTTATAAATGAACAATTCAATGGATCTTGCATATTATAAAAAATCAAGTTTTTATCCAAGTTATTCCAGTGATAAATCAATTGATAGAGTAGAGATCTTTCTATCACATGCTTAATGGCTGGGAGAAGAAAATTGTATGCCCATTTAGAGTTATAGTGAGAGGGTCTGTAGTATGTTTTTAACAGATTACTGATATAAATCATTACTACTTTAGGTCCTGTGTCCCAAATTGTAACAGCATATCTTATTTTTGATTCCATACACTTGTAATATAATTTTCAGGTAATAGTTGAATCAAGATATTGCATAGTTAAAATTTAGTTTAAATTTGTATATATTCATATTCTATTTTTAGAATATGTTAAATGTTGAAAATTACAAATTTTATTTGCTGTTCTAAAATAATAAATTTTTGGTTAGTTATTGTAATTAAGGAGTTCTATTTTTCCTTACATCAGGCATGGCTCTTTACCTAAGCTTNCTGCACTAACCCGTCCCTGAGATGTTTACCAGAGGAGAACACTCTCTCTATGCTCAGCGGGCTTCCTAAGTGCCTGAGACTACCGTGTACCAGTCTCTTGCCCTTCTCTCCTTCCTCTCCCGTTCGCCCCGCAATTTAAGGGTTTTTTGGACGGGGACTTCCGACCAATCATAAATCTTTCTTGCCCGAACAGCTTTAACTCAGGTTTGCCATTTGTATATATTCATATTCTATTTTTAGAATATGTTAAATGTTGAAAATTACAAATTTTATTTGCTGTTCTAAAATAATAAATTTTTGGTTAGTTATTGTAATTAAGGAGTTCTATTTTTCCTTACATCAGGCATGGCTCTTTACCTAAGCTTGCATGCAGCCTTTTATGACTTTTTTATGACCCACAAACTATCAACATTATTAAATGTATTTCTTTCTTGAGTAATTTATAATAAGTTTGCTTGTTAAGTAAATAGAAGTCATAAGAATATAAGTAATAAATTTGAAAATTATATTGATTGTACAGTCAACCCCCCTATAAGATCATTGATTTTTCCGTTTTATCTGAATTACATGTTGTACGAGTCACTTAGATTTTACAAATACGTGTGCCGGGCTGTGAACGGCTCACATATTTGTAAAATCTAAGTGACTCGTACAACATGTAATTCAGATAAAACGGAAAAATCAATGATTTTATAGGGGGGGTCAACTGTATTTGTATGAAATGTAAAATCTGATGTTTAGCCAATTTCACATTAAAATGGTATCATGGGTTGCTCACACCTACCTTATATAATGATTCTGAAATTTGATCATTTTGATTATGTATATTATATGGAAAAATTTATTTTTATTTAGGAGAGCTTCAAATGAAATTTTAGAATTAATTGAAGTATCGTTGGATGTAAATTTGACTGGGAGTCATATAAGATTACGTTTTCAGCATACTCCTGTTCTAGAAGGAGTAAGCATACATGAAACTCATGATCAAGTTATTATTTTGGTTGCTACAATATCTAGTGTTCACAGGCTAGTTTTTCCTCATCCTCGTAAACTTATTGGAACGGTATGTTGATTTGAAAGAATATACAGTAAAATTATATTTATGAATTTAGTTTAATTTAAAAGAAAAAAAATATTTTCAGGATTATTTATCTTTCCATCCTTCAGAAGCTACACTTCCATCAATATTTTTTGATGCATCACTTGCTACTTTACAAGATAGTAAAAATCATTATGTACTAAATCATGCTGCATCAGTTGGTGTTCCTCTACCTCATACTTCGTGTTCCTGGTTGACCCCTCAGAAAGATGCTATATTTGTTTTGGCAAATAGTATTGGAACTTTATTAGTTGTCTGTTTGCCTCAAGATAAAGGTAAGATATGTTAATGAATTTAATATATATTTTAAATAAATTGTATAATTTTGGTGCCATTGGTAATGAGGGTGATCCGATTGGTATTTCGGGTCTCTCTGTATTTATCTAGTAATTATTGTATATTTATACATAGAGCAGTCATTTAAATATTATATATTTTAAATAAATTGTTAAATTTTGGTGCCATTGGTAATGAGGGTGATCCGATTGGTAAAAGAATAATATACTGATAAAGTCACATTTATACATGTGTCTATATTTATATTTGATTTATAGAGAGTTCTATGTATTGAGATATATAAAAAATTGAAAAACTTTTATTTAGACTTAAAGTATAAAGCAGTAGAATATATTTAAGCCCATGACATATATTTGAGTCATTACCCAAACAATATATCAGGCTGTAATAATGATTTAAATAAATATCATAAATTTAGATATATCACAAAATTACTTCTCTAGGCCACATTGAATTTATTCAAAAACAAATTCCACATAATACATTATAGCAAATTTTAGTATTCTTGCTAGATCTGTAGATCTGGTGGGTTTTCACTAAACTGGCAATCTGCTGATAAACAAAGGGCATGTTTTCTGATAAAGTAGCTTTAATATAGCTGGATAAGCAAGCTAATGTCATAATCTTTTTCATTTGATATTCACTATGGCATTAGCTGCTTATCTAGCTGTATTAAAGCTGTTTTACCAGAAAACATGCTGAAAAGATTTATGGAACTTAATAGGTTGGGCAGCATCTGCTGAATTCAAGTAGTTTGACTAGGGAGATATATATGTAAAACTTTTCACTTTAGGAGTAGAAAAATACATTATAATTTATAGTGTTTACTGGGACTGAAATGCAGTTTTAGTTATGGATGAATTCAAAATTAGAGATTTTATTATAAGTGAAGTTCTTTCCCAAACTCCGTCTCATTGAGTTGGTTTCCATGTGTATCACGTTTCGATGTAGTGATCCAGGTCTGATGGAAAGCACACCTCCACATTGATTGGTTTCCGGGAACTATTAAACATTGGAGAGGCCTCAGTCAGCTTGTGGAGTTGGCTCAACTGCATTGTTAGTCCATTCTCCGCACTAACCCGTCCCTGAGATGTTTACCAGAGGAGAACACTCTCTCTATGCTCAGCGGGCTTCCCAAGTGCCTGAGACTACCGTGTACAAGTCTTTTGCCCTTCTCTCCCTCCTCTCTCATTTGTTCCGCAATTTAAGGGTTTTTTGGATGGAAACTTTCAACCAATCATAAATCTTTCTTGCCCGAACAGCTTTAACTCAGGTTTGCCATTATCCAACGAGAGTCAAGCTTACAGTAACATCCAGTTTATATTCAGTTGTTTACCATATGGCAAATGGTCTATCATCTGACCACAGGTGAGTCCAATTGACAAAGTCGGCACTCCCTTTGTTTTCCCTCTGTTTACAAGTCAACACCTTACAAGTGGTATATTACCTGACCACACCTGGGTCCAATTGACAAGGTCGCACTTCTTTTGTTCCCTCTCTGCTAAAACGTCAATACTTTACACTATATACATGTATATATTTATTTATTCATTTATTTAACATTAAATACATCTAATAATTTGTTTATTAAGATTAAGATGCATTAAATTTGAATGATTACAGAAAAAGTAATAGCATTTGAATTGAAGCAGACATCAGTGATGTCAAGAATAATTAGTGGTCTTGTTCCATCTGTCATTCGGTAAGTTTTTGATTTTGAATTAATAATTTGATATTAAATTAGATGCTGAATGCTATATAATTATAATGTTTGTTTTCACTCAAAAAATATAGTATTATTGAGTGTGTTCAGAAATATCAATATACAGTAGAGCATCGTTTATTTGAAAGTCAGTTATCTGAAAGAATTCCAGTCAGCAAATTTAAATTTTCACTAGTGCTGTGGCTCTGCAATCTTTGGCTATATCTTGGTCTACTCCAATATTTTTTTTTGCTGACGTGTGTGTTTTAGCTGGCACTTTTGTATGGTGTTTTTCTGAGGACTGTGTGTCATGCTGAATCAAACGTTTTTGATACTAGATTAATTTCTAAAGTATAATTTTTTTTGTTTTTATATTTTTCAATATATTTATTTTGTTTGTACAAAATAAAGAAATAATTTTTAACAATACAATAGCCACGATTATTATTTTAAAAAGTTTACGTTAGGCTTAAAATCGGTGAAAATTCAACGCGAAGCGACACGCAATGGAGAAAAATTTCAACGTGAGATAGGTTAATATATTTTTTCATACATAATCGGTTATCCAAACAACCCCAGTCCCCAATTGATTCGGATAAACGACACTCTACTGTAATATAATAATATTTTCTTCGCTATACTATTAGCAAAAGTTGTGATTGTGAAATATTTATTTGTGAGATTATGGTGAGGGCTAAACCCTCTTGTTGTTGGGACATTAAGGACCACTCACTCTCGTTTAAGGATGGCTTAAAATAAGAATTTCGCCTGAACCTTTCGATACGTTTGCCTGTCAGGACTGACACCAGTTAGGGAAGGATATTTTGCCCTAACACACAAAATGTTTTAATCTAAATATTGTCAAGCGGGCTATTTCTGTCAAGTGGGAGGAGTTGTGGGTAAGTTCAACTCATAGCGAGTGAATGGTCCAAAGTTAGCAAATAAATGGAATCAATAAGTAAACATAACAACTAATGTTTAATAGATAAAAGAAATATACTATATACATGGTTCCAAATCGAATACAAATTTGCATAATCGAACTTAACTCTAAATATATCTCTATTCTTAGATATATTATTATGCCAAACATATACTGCTAATCATAAATGAGAAAGTAACAGTTTCTATCCTGTTCTCACAAGAGAGAGAGTTTACAAGTATGATATAAATCATACTACCTTATGATGTAAGTTGGTATGTAGTCTTCTGTTTGGAGACTAAGCATTGATATGTGGGACGATAGCGATGGAAGTTCAGGAGAGGATTGAGAATCTTGGCAGGAACTTATATGTGCGCTAATTTAATTATATTCTTTGGCTAATTTAATTATATTCATCATCTGTGGTGTGTTTGACTTCTCGTGAACTGCCTTCTGGCACCTTCGTATTATGGAGGACTGCCTCAAATGGTGGGAAAACCACCCTTTTATTGAGCTTTCTGACCAATGGCATAAAATGATTCACAGTTACAACGGGATGCACAATGACATGTAGAGGGGGTAAAAATACAGATGGTGGTCAGAATTACTGATAAAGACCTGTAGGAAAGGAAGTTGGTTTCCCTTTTCTTGAAAAACATGAGAATGTAACGTCCCTTTTTGTGAACAATATGTAAGAAATAATATATTTTCTTATACTAATTAACCTAACAAATCCCGATTCTCACACATTTATTAATCATCATTTCTCCCTAGTGTTATAGTTTTTTTCCTTTTTTTTTTTTTGTTGTTGTTGTTATAAAGCAGTGATTTTCAAAGTGGGTGCTACCATTCTTTTGAGGGTAGTAGAAAATTCATGGGGATGTTGTCAGATAAGGGGGACAAAAATTTATTTTGAATATTTATCATATATATTAATTGGTGCATCACAGTTACATTATAAAGGATCTTATCAATTCAATAAATATATATAAAATAAAAACAAAAAGACGGTAATTGTAAGATAAATAAAAACATTTAAACAATGTTTAATACTTAAAAATATATATATTTAACATCCGAATCACAATTAAAATCCCATAGATTTTATATACAATGTATACAGCAATGCGACACATGGGCGATCTGCCGAGTGGGAAAATGCCTCCTGGGAGGTCTTTTAGGGAAACTGGCTCCTGTTTAGGTGTTAGTAACGTGCAGAAAATCTGTTTGGTGGTTTTATTCACTCTGCCACTGGTGGGTCAGATTGGTGACAACAGATGTCAAAAATAAAAAATTGTTTTTAGCATCAATTTGAAGTGTATATATATATAATATGTTCTCTAAAAGGGTAGTAATCCCAAAAACTTTGGGAAACACTGTTGTAAAGTGAAAAAAAATGTTCTAGAGAAAGGAGTTAGTTAATGAATAAACTTATGCATAATAAATTCATACTATTAATAATCAACTAATACTAATATATTAATCAAATAGTTTTTCAAAAATACTTTTGTGGATTTTATATGAATGATAGGATATGAATTTAAAAAAGTCTATATAAAATGGCTTTAAAAACCAAGATCTTTACAGAAAACAGTAACAAGGTGTGAAAGGAATATTACAAAAAAATCCAGCAACAAGTTGCTTAACTTTTCTGGCAACATTTGCTTGTGCCATCTGTTGTTATATTTTATTTTTAAAAACTTTTATATTTTAAACTATTATAAAATGACAAAAAGCTTAATTTTGATGGTAGGGATAGGTTTTATTAAAAAAATTGTAAATGTTGATAATGAATAAAATCATTGTTAAGTCTGACTCTACTGGAGATAAACATGACCCTCTTTATCTCCCCATCCTGTTGATTTTTAATCACCAAAATTTAATAGTGTCAATCTCCCTAATAAACAAACCACACTGCAAAATTTCAGAAATTTTTGACAAAAAACATGAATTATATTAAGCTTCAAACAGGGTGAACATAATCATGCAAGTCCAAAAATGTAAAAATCTTGGGGGTCATTTTTTTGACAGCTTAACATGTCACTTTTGCTTTCCAGACACCAAAATGATAAGACTACCAGCATTTGCATTAATTAGTAAGTAAAACTGGTGGCAATAAATAATTTGAAGTGACCCAAAAAAAAATTTTTTTTAACTGGAGAGTTGATTTGCGATTTTTTTAAAAATTTTCCAGAGTGACTCCTGACTTTGAGAACCCAAAATAAAAGAATCAAAAGAAATGACGGGAAAATGAAATAAATCTTCATTTGTTTTCACTTTGAACATTTTTCTTAAAGCATTTGGACTTATTTGATTTGTATTTTGTAATAAAAAATGGTTTATTTCAATTCAGGTAATAATGTAATAGCACAAGTGAAATGAACACAAATTATTGAAAATGTTTAAAATAAAAACAAGTATTGTTAACATTTGTAAGGATATAAATTTGATGAAGGATCGTGTCAAGGTAAAACAAAGAAAAAAGAATAAAGATGAACATATGAACACAATACACATTTATTCAATACAAAGGACAAAAGAACAACTGCCGTTAACAGGATTCACATAAATCAGGTCATTGCACAGGCAGTAGAGTAGAGGGCACGATGATTCCAAAGGTTAAAGGTTACATTTACAACTTCCTAACAACATTTAACTAGTTTTAGATTAAATGAATTAATTTCTTAATATATAAAATTTTAAATTTTAAATATATATCTTAATAAATGCATTTTACTTGTTTCAGAGGAAATCAAGTTAGAGAAGATATGGCATATAGCTTAGTTTGCCATCCATTTAATGGGGATACTTTAATTTTTGCTTTATGTAAAGATTTTAGGATAAGAATGTGGTCATATCAGGTAAATTGTTCTTTTAATAATTCAAATAAAATAGGATCATAAAGTGAAAAAATAATTTTATTTCCTGCTATTATACTTGTTAAAATAAGTCAATTATTTACTTTATATAAAGTAGTATTAAAAATTAGGTAAGTAGTATTAAAATGATTCAGAACGTTGTTATAATACATGTAGACTATTTGCAGTTCTTTTCCCACTGCTACTATCATGATCTTTGTGCCATCTATCTCCTAATTGTAAAATGAGATACCATTGTAAGCCTACCATATATAAACTGAATGATCATTCCTTTCTAGAAATTTTATAAATTGTACACTGACTATTTCTATTTTCAGTTCACTCTCTAGATTTTAATATTAAAATATTATTACAAACATTTATTTGTCAACTTTATTAAATTATATTGGTTGTCATAAAAGAGGAGAAAAAAATATTGACATTATAGATCAAATATATTAAATAATTAAATACAGTTTATTTTTATTTTAGAGAAGAGAATGTTTAATGGATGCAAATGTGTTAGAATGTTGTGGTGATCGAATAATAAATACTCCTCTTAATTTAACAGGTAATGCTTTTAAAATGTATAATAATGATTTTACAATGTAGTAAAATAAAAATATTAATATTTGAAAAGTGAATCGTTAAATTTGCTTATAATATGAAATGAAATTATAACTATCTGTATTCATTGACTAATTTTTAATTTTAGTTTAATGTTAATAAATTAAAGTGATGTGTACATATATAGATCATATATAAAGTGTTTAAAAAGAATACAGTAAAAATTTTAATATGAAAATAACTCATCTCAATAAACAAACAACTCTAATAAAAATGGTTCTCCAAATCAACTGTTTCTAAAATGAATGATTGGAGTTTCTTATTGTTTACAAATGATTTAAAATTTCAACTATGGAAGTTAACTATAATTCAGAAATGGACAGCACGCCGATCATTTACTAGGAGAAACGTAGTAAATGATCTAAGACAACGTATCTAGCTCCACAGTTTGGAGGCTTATAGCACATGCACATTATAACCGTGCGCGTTTTTATTTAAATTCTTTTTTCTTACATTCTATCGTTGCTTTCATTCCAAAACGTTAATACCGTTGGAATAATTTGATGTTCATATTCAAAAAAGGACTTTAACCATTTTTAACGACCTGACAAAGACAAAAATAATTATCATCAAAAGTGCTTGTCGATCTAGCAACATTCATTTGTAATTTAACGCCTATATGTTAAGAGGTTTCGCCTAGTAAACGATCGGCGTGCTCTCCATTTTTGAATTATAGTTAACTTCCATAATGAATTCTGGACAACAGGTATCCTTTTTTGTTATGCTAAATTTCAACTATTATCAAACTTCCAAAAATTGTTTTCAATTTTGATTTGATTTCTAAAGTGTTATTTGTGGATGTCATCATCTTAGTTAAATGGCTTAAGAAATTCAAAAATCCTCCTCAAGTAATGCTGCAACTTCACCACAAACTGAAAGTAACATATTGTCAGCTGGATGAATATTTGAACTCAATTGCTGAGTTTGCAAGTATACTGTGAGCATGATAAATAAAAAATGCACAAATAGATTGCAACCATAAAATGCTGTTTATCGTGGAAATACAGTAGTACCTCAGGATACGAACGCTCCAGCATACAAAATTTTCAGGATACAACATGAAATTCAAACATATTTTTGCTCCACGGTATGTGGAGTCAATGTAATAAAATCAGGGGTTCATGATTTTGTTTTCAAGATATAGTAGGGGCTTAGTGAAAAGTACTAATCTCACCATACGACATTACATTAGTTGCAGCGCCATTTTTTACTCACTTCTGTTCATTGGTCTCAGTCTGCCTGTTTGCTTCGTCATGGAAGGATCTCGCTCAATAAAGGAAATCATGAGGTATTATTAGAAAGTGACTGATTTTATTGAAAAGAAACATCCAGAAAAGGTTCACACTACCTGTATTGCTGCTCAGAATAATGACATTTGCCTAAGTCATTTTAGAAACATTTTAAAAAGTAGGTATAGCCAAACCTCTTTGGATAGATATTTTACCAAGCGACCTCTATCCAGTGAAAGTGCTGGTGGAATGGAAGGAAAGAAAGCAAAAAGCAGTGAATAAAAAATTTAAAAAAATATGTAAAATAGAGAAATTAAAAAATTAGTGTTAAGTTATTTTTAAGTTATTGTTACATTATGTTATGTAAGTTAAGTTTTAGTATCATTTCCCTTCTCCCTCTCTTCCGCCACCAGTTTACACCTCCACCATCGTCTATCCTCAAAGGTAAAGTGCAAATAAAACTACAGTTTTTTTAATCAATTATTATCCTATTATGGTTATTTATACATTTACAACTACAAAATGCATTTTTCGGTGTTTTCCTTACTATATTTTTTTTTTTCCAGTGTACTACTTAGCTTTAATTTGGGTGTTTTTCATGTTGGAGCAGATTATTTGGTTTTACATGTAATTATGTGGGGAAAAATGATTCACCTTACAACATTTTCATGATACAATCTCAGTTTTGAAATGGATTAATTTTGTATCCTGAGGTACTACTGTAATTGATCCACAGATCAATTATTTCCAAGATAAAGTGTGTTAATCCATATGTATTAAGACTTTTTAATTGCTTTGAAGTTGTTTTTCCAGTCTTAAAAATTTTACCGTGGCTGTTTAAACACTTTATATAAAAAGTATATGAAAAATTCTGTAGAATCACAATACAAAAATTCCAAATAACTTGTGTTAAAATTATAATATAAGCAATAATACTGCCTATTGATTGTTCATAAATTTATATTTGTTTGTTTTATAAGTATTTGAGTATTATAATTTAATATAATGAACATACTGTGTGAGTATATTATTTATATACATCATAATTAAATATATATTTATGATTGTTATAAATTTTTTCAGCACAACAGTTTTCTATGAAGAAAGTTAGTGGATACAGAGATCAAGATTTTTTTCTAGCTGTGTACATGAGCCTTCCTGAACAAAATCAGTTTTTCATATTTCAATCAAGAATTTTTTCTGGTCAATGTAATTTAGCTTACATATCTACTTTATATGCACCAGAAGTAAGAAATTTAAAAATGCTTTCTTTTATGTATAAATAATTTTATTGAGGCAGAGCATTAGTGAAGCCTCTTCTACATGGCTTATAGAATTGAATTCATTCTCAAAGTTTAATCAGTTGATTTTGATTAAATTTTATCATTTTTATAGTGTGAAATGAGGAAATTAAAAATGTAATAAAATCATGGGTTTATGATTTTGTTTTCCAGATATAGTAGGGGCTTAGTGAAAAGTACTAGCATGACCACATCCAATTTTTGAACTTTTTTATTTTATATTTAAGTCGGTAATATTATTTTAGGGGTCCCCAAAACAATATAATTGACTTGTTAGTGCTTCAACTCAGTTCTTAGTTTATGTTCAGACAGAAACAAACTGTACCTAGTATATTTTAAATGATCTTTTAATTGCAATCATATACATTTCTGTTTTAATCTTTAATTTAAATTTCAAATATTTTAAAGTTGTAAATGTTTAAGGAAATGATGAAAAAGATTTAAAAGTTTATGAAATGATACACTTATAATTTTGTTGAATAATTGGGTTTAATGATTTTATTGTTTACTTATTATCACTATTATTACTTACATTATATGCAATTATAAGAACTTAAAAATAATATATAGTTTGATGAAAAGCATATTTACGCAGGCAGATTAATTAAAAACTCTAGATTTCAACCACAGTGTATTAAATGGAGTCAGGGTATCTATTTTCTTTATTTTTTGAATTTTTTCCATCAAATTGTAAATTATAATTTAATATTTATATTAAATATTTTTAGAAAATGTTAATTTATTGAATTCATGTAATTAAGGATTAGATGAAAGTCAGTTGTCAAGTACAATTTTCACAATACTGTATATGTAGTACTTTTGATTTCTGCATATTATTGATATACTAGGTAGCCTGACAGTTCAGTTAATTTCTTGTTTAAAATTAAATTTAAAATAATTTTTAAAAAGTAGGCAAATTTATAAAACAAAAATTAATGAAATTTAATTTTTTAATTTTTTTAGTAAATTTGATTATCTTTAATGCAAAACAACACTAAAACAATTTCTATAGTTATGTTACAAAAGAAAAAAGAGTTGCAATTAATTTTAAAAATTAATTAAGGGTTCAAAAAATGCAGCCAAAATTAAATAATTAATTATTATTAATAATTATAAAAACTAAATTAAACCAAAAATTAATTAAATAAGAATTAAATTTAAAAATAATAAAATAATAATTAAAAAGCTGGCCTTTACATCAAAAACAAAATTAAAAATAAAATCAAAACTATTTAAAATTAAATCATTTGAAAACTAAAACATTTTTAAAAACCATGCAAAAGTTGTTCTGAAATTTTCAAATTGTAAATCAAATTAATTTGTAATATATATACAGATAAAAATTAAAAATAATGTACAGTTTTAATTTTTATATCAATTCTCTATATAACCAAAGGTTATTCAAAAATCAAACTTAAGAATAGTTGCTATAGAAGCAAACAAATAGCCATGACTCAGACTTGAAGAAAGTGAAGTCTTTTTGTGTCTCCCATCCCTATGCAAAGACCTTCCTTTTGCTTTGTTAACCCTTTCCATGAATTCATATCCAGTCCACTGAGGAAGTTAAAGGATGGTCTTTTTGAGGAATGAATTGTAGATCCCACAGTGTAATCTACTTGCATGCTGCTTCTTTGTAAAGTATTGTTTCAATTTTAGTGGGGACAGAATATTTTTGCTTTTAATATATATACAGATTATATTCAATAATATATAACAGGAAGCAAAAATTTATTTAGTTAAAATTGCAAAATAGTATTCACACATAAATATTTTAGAATTTTGTAAATAAATAATAGATTTTATATTAAAAAGCAAAGAAATGTTCATATTGCACTCAGACTAATTTCATATAGAATTTGGCAAACTAACAGGAAATATATATCATATAAGGTATTTAATGTCTTCAAATAAGAGTATCATTATAGTTTCTTTCAAAGTTTTAAAGCAAGGGCTAAACAAAATATCTTTAAAAAAATGAGAGAACAAAAATTTTGCACTAGAGCTTTTAAAAGAAATAGAAAAAAATAATATATAAAATACTGGACTTTCTTTTAGTAAAACAAAAAAATACAAATTTCAACAATTACATTTAGATTTTTAACTTTATCAGCAAAAGAATCTAACAAAAGAAAAAATCTTTAGCATTTTCTATATAATGCAATTATAATACTACTACAACATTATTATGCAAATCAGATAGTAAACTAGGAAGGGTTGAGGAAGTTTTCAAGATCTAACAAAAACATTCCTAAAATTTAGAATAACAGAAATAAAAAGGCAAATAATGTGAACATCATACTACTAATTTTTTAACAGAAATGCATATTATATGTTATTTTATTACATATACACTGTAAGGTAAAGTCATGAAAACAATAGAAGCCTTCCTATATGCATCAAAAAATATTAAATAAAATTAATTTAAAAGAAAAAAGGATATATTAGTAAAATCCAAACTCTTTTTCATTTAAAATTAATTTATTAATAAGATTAATTTAATTAATGAATGTAATCTAAATAATATCAAAAACATAAATAATTTATTAGTATTTCTGTAAAACTTTTAATAAACTATACTGTTCACATTTTCAGAATAAGCATACAAATATTCTTAACCTTAAACTTATATTATTATTTGTTTGTTCGTTAACTTTCTTTTTGCTCCACAAAATACTATATAGATTTTTAAAAACTGTACAACTTGTAAGAAAGGAACATTTGTTTTCTTTAAAATTTAATTCTTCAATTTTATATTATCTCAAATAATGCCAAATGATCTGGATTATATTGGGCTATAATATGGCTACTATTTAATAATTAAATATTAAGTATAATAATTTGCATAGAGTTAGGCATTGGGCACCATCTCTTTATAAATGTAGTAATAATAAATTAATTAATAATTTAGTTTTTAATTTAGAAAGTTCTGGAAGAAAAGAATTGGCCTGGAGTCCCTCATATAATCTGATAGATCATTTGGTGTTAATCAAAACTTAGGTTAATGGATGTTTATATCTGAAATAATGTTTTTATTTGAAATGAAGAAAGTTATTTATATAGAATTTCTTTAAAAAATTTTTTTATATGTTTTAGTATGATCTGGTGGATTTTCATTTAACTGATTCTCAGTTGTGGACATTATGGCTTAACGGAAATAGTGAGCCAATTGTAAAATTTACTTTTATAGATAGGTAAGTTTGCTATAAAATAAATGTTTAATATGAAAGTTTTTTCTTTTAAAATTTAATAATTATATATTTTAATTAATAGTGAAGAAAATCAATGTAAAGATGTATCCTGGACATTAGTTCATCTTCAGACTCCTGTTGCAAAGGANAAATCCAAACTCTTTTTCATTTAAAATTAATTTATTTCAAAAATCAACTTACATACTAGTAACACGTTTTTCAAAAAAGAGTGAATGTTGAAAGTTTTGATTCTTCACAGTATTATTGATGTGTGGATATACATCATTTTTTAATATATAAGTTTTAAAGAACTGAAAAAGAACAAAATTAAAAAATTATTTCTTTTTAGATTTATCGCAGAATTGCTGACACCAGTATAGCTAGTGATTATCAGTCATCTCTCACTACTTTGAAAGAAGAAGTAACACATGCAGTAGAAACAGAAGTAAGACGTTTTGAAAAGAGAGAAAAAAGAATTAATTTCAGATTTAAAATTTTTTGGAATTGCATATCTTTAAGAAGCTGACTATTCACACTGTATTGGAATTTATTTCAGATTCGCTCTAGAGCAAGTGAAGGGGAACTTACAGATGAAGAATTTATAGATTTGCAGATGGAATGCTGGCATAAATTCTTTTCTTACTGTTTACAGTATCATGAGGTAAATTTTATAATTTATCATTATAAATTTCAAATATTTTTAGTAATGAAATAACCAAAGATCATTATATACTCATTGGGCTTTAAGATGTTTATTATTTATATATTTTTAGTAAGCATTACATAGATATATTTTCAGCTTACATTGTTGATGTAAAACAAAAGTATAACTTCACTACAATGTAACGAAGAAAATTTTAGTTTTTTTTTGGAAGAATGAATACAAAAAATAAAACTGCTCAAGGGTTTTTGAGCTTTTTTTTATCTTCAGGAACATGAATTATGTTTTGTTGCTTTGTAAGAAAAATTGTTTCTGTAGTAACAATTTTAACAATATTATATCATTTAGAATAACTCAGAAATTGATCCAAAAATTAAAAGGTTATGTAAATAGATTAAATGTACAGTATTATTGATTTTGAAAATTTCACATTAAAAAATAATTAATCAAATGTGAAAATATTTAATTATTTTTGCAGCTTAATTAATATATTGTATTTATTTTTTAACTTTGCTCAGATAATTGATTACAGANGGAATTTCGAAAAATCCCTTCTTAGTGTGCGTTTTCGTGACGTACCCCATCTGTGTACCAAATTTCAACTTTCAACTCCTAACCATTTGGGCTCTGTGCTGATTATTATTATTATCAACTCGTCTCGATTATATATATAGATTATATGGTTTGTCAAGAAAAAACTTCTGAACTTTTTTTAGCAGAAAATGGCAGTTTAAAATTAAGTAATCTGGATATTTAATATTTTTTAATTTTCTTGCACAATTTTCATTTTTTAAAAGCTGAATTTGTTCATAATACTAATAAATTCTTAAATTTCTGTTTTAAAACTTTTATTACATATTTATAAACATCAACAACTCATAGCCCGAGTAGTAAATACATCACCAAACGATCGCCTAAATATCGGGCTATAATATGGCTAATTAAATGATTGGAAATTTACTTACACTTATTTTAATTTTTTTTACATAGTAAGTTTATCTACAATTTATGATATTTCTATGTAAATAATTATATTTCAGCTCATTTGTGGCACAGTGCGGCAGCAGGCCAGGTTGAACTGACCTCACAGGCCTGATCCGGCCTGCAGGCCATAGGTTTATCTTTGCCGTTGGACAAAGATCCAGCTGACAAAAATTTGCTTAGCAGCATTACATTAACAAAACAATTATTATTTCATTATTAGACCTGAGAGAAAAATGTTAACTCAATAGTCTTATAAATATTCATTGACAATTTAATTATAACACATTGAAGAATTAGTATAGTTAATAAATTGAAACTACTGTATAAGTTTATTAACCAATATAAAATAGGAAGTGAGTGAGGAATGCAGAACAAAGAATTAGTGCACATCAGTAATAATGTAAACATATTTTAATAAATCATTTCAGTAACTAATATTTCTGTGCTGTTTTTCCTGAAAGTTGATGATTATATGATTAATATGTTATTCTTAATATAATGTAAATGTTTGCAAATGCCATTATCTCATTCTATAAATAAATATCCTGCAGATTAGATAATGGTGTTAAAAGAGTCCTTAATAATTTTACAGAGACAAGTCTTAATTTTATATATATTTTTTTAATATGAAATATTGATTATATTTACATTTTTTTTCATTTAAAAGATGTTTCTTTCAGTTAGAATTACTTTCCAAACTGAGTTCTTATTTTCTTAAATAATAATACATACATCTATTTACATTTAACTTCTTTATCTATGAGTTTTCTAAATTCTAAAATTTTTTTAAAACATACAGCTTTTATTCCTGGTTCTTTGGTTCATTTATTCCTGCGAGAACAAGGAGGTATTCAAGTTCGCCAACTACTTGGATTGTTGCAACCAGCTGAAGATAGAATGCAAAGTGCTTGGAACAATCTTTTACCTTCTTTAGTCAATATTGTGGCTCAATTGATGTATCCTACAATTATTAGAATTAATAGATTAGATTTTAAATAATTAATTGATAATTGAAATTTGATTTTTTTTAATTTAAATAAAAAAAATCAAATATTTAAATAATAATGACCATACAAACAATTAGGTCAGTTTAAATGTTTTATCCTTTTCTTAAAATCTAGGCACAGGCAGATGATAGATAACTTGAACTTAAAATACATATCTTCATTAAAGTGACAGACTATATCATTGGTCATTTTAATGAAGAATTGTATTATTTAAATAGTAAATAATCCTTGGAACTATATGATTTATGTAAAAAAAATCTATTTTCTTCTGTCAAAATATTTTTTTGATGGCTATGAGGCAGTTAAAGCATCAACCCTACTGTTTTGGAATTGAATCTGGGTGAGCAACACAAGAAATTTTTGTGATAGTCTATCCCAGATATGTCAGGCCCCATCTCACACCATTTGGCTAAACCTATTATGGACATGATTATAAAGATCTTTAGTGTCCAAAGAATGGAAAGGGCAAGAAAATATTTTTTTATATGTATATATAATAAGAAATAAATAATTACATTTTTTATTCGTGTTTATTTATAACAATCACAATGTAATTAATACATTTTTATTGTAAAATACATCAGATATATTTTATTAAAGAAGTATTTCAGTTTATTTCTTGATTTTACAACTGCACAGTTGTAAAAATTAGAGATTCTTAAAAACAGGAAAGAAGATTAATGATATGTTGTAAGTATACAGGTGTTGGTTGATAATTTGCATGTGTTTAATCGATAAAGGACTGAATTGTTTCATAGTAAAAAAAAAGCCTGACGAGTGATATGTTTTCCCATTTGAACTGCATAGCATTAAAGGTTTTTAAAGTTGATTTAATGGTTTTGGTTTCTTTTTAAAAAACATATATATAAATGTCACATTTCTTCTACATGTTAATAGACTAGTAATATATACAAATGTCGTTAATAGCATAATTATAACAAGATTATACATCCGTCCCATAATAATTAATTATTTGAAATTAACGATGCTTTTGATTCAGAAAAAAATTATGAATTTAAAAGTTTCTTTTATTAGCATAATTATTACATTATCATTTTTCTTAATTCTGTAAATCAGTTGGCCAAATGGAATGAATTTCTTATTTCCTGAATTCCTCTTAGTACAATGTCAATATTTGCCATTACAAGTAAGTTTTGTAAATTATTATAGTTTAAGATGTTATTTATAAATTAATATTCTAATACATTTAATGATATATTTGTGATAATATAATTTATCTTAAATATTAATATCACCTGTTTAAATCTTGTTGAAATGAATATACAGTAGAGCATCGATTATGCGAATCAATTGGGGACTGGGGTTGTTCAGAAAATCGATTTTTAAGTGATGAGAATGATACAAATGCAGCCAAAAAATTAAATACTGTTCATAATCAAACTGTAATTAGTGTAAGGACTGTGCAGAATGGTTTGAAAGATTTAGAAATAATGATTTTAGTGTGGAGGATAAGGCTCGTACTGGAAGACCCATTGACTTTGATGATGATGCTCTCTCTGCACTAGTTGAAGCAGAACCATCTTTAACAGTTGATGAAATTGCGGAACGTTTAAATTTATCCCATGGAACTGTTCATAGACATCTACAACAAATCGGAAAAGTTTCAAAGCTAGGAAAATGGATACCACATGAACTGTCAATAGCTAACCGACAACAACGTGTAAACATTTGCACGTCTCTTTTATCCCGCATTACTTTGAAACCTTTTCTTGATCGGCTGGTTACTGGAGACAAAAAATGGATTGTCTATAATAATGTGACGAGAAAAAGACAATGGACAGATCGCGACAAGCAGCCAGAACCGGCTGCAAAAGGTGGGTTGCATCCAAAAAAAATTCTTTTGTCTGTTTGGTGGGATATGTCAAGTGTAATTCACTTTGAGCTGTTAGAACCTAATCAAACAATTACAGCTCAAATGTATTGTGATCAATTAGAGCGTTTAAATGAAAAAAATTGACCGTCATTAGTGAACAGAAAGCAGGTTCTCTTGCAGCATGACAATGCCAGACCACATGCTGCAAAAATAACAGTAGAGAAACTCAAAAGCTTCAACTGGGAAATTTTACCTCATTCGCCATATTTGCCAGATATTGTTCCCAGTGATTATCATCTTTTTTGGAGTTTGCAGAATTTTTTAAAAGGGAAATTTTTGAGGATGAGAACAATGTAAAAAAGGCTATTTCTGAATATTTTGATTCAAAACCGAAATCATTTTACGAAGACGGGATTAAAAAGCTACCATCAAGATGGCAAGAGATTGTACAGAATAATGGTTAATACATTATAGATTGAAATAAGATTTAATTAAAAGTTTTTGTTGCTTTTTTTGTAAATAAAAATACGCACAAACTTATGGACGGACCTGATATAATAATAATCGTGGCTATTGTATTATTAAAAATTATTTCTTTATTTTGTACAAACAAAATAAAGAAATCATTTTTAACAATACAATAGCCACTAAAGAAATAATTCAGCACAACACTTTTGGTTAACCAACGTTTCAGTTGATCAGCATTCAGATAATTGATGCTGTACTGTAGTATTATACAGTAATACAGTAGAGTGTCGTTTATCCGAAAGCTGGTTAACCGAAAACATTCCAGTCGGCAAATTTAAATTTTTGCTAATGCTGTGGCGCTGCAATCTTTGACTATATCTTGGGCTACTCCAATTTTTTTTTTTTGTGTGTTTTAGCTGGCAGCACTGGCACTTTTGTGGTGTTTTTCTGGGGACTGTGTGTCGTGCTGAATTGAACATTTTTGATACTAGATCAACTTCTAAAGTATAATTTTTTTTGTTTTTATATTTTTCAATATATTTATTTTGAAAAAAAAATTCTTTTTAATGATACAATAGCCACGATTATTATTTTAAAAAGTTTACATTAGGCTTAACTTTGACGAAAATTCAACGCGAAGCGACACACAACGGAGAAAACTTTCAACATGGGATAGATTAATATATTTTTTCGTACATAATCGTTATCCGAAAAATAAATTATCTGAACAACCTCAGTCCCCAATTGATTCGGATAAATGACGCTCTACTGTATCTAAGTTTGAACTTAGTTTGTTTCGTCAAAAAAGTTATTCAAAACTAAACGAAAATGAAAAACAATTATTATTAACATTTAAATTGATAGTATTGAAATATTTAATTTTATAAAATTATTTATAAATAATAAATACTCAAAACATGAAAAAAGCCTGCCAAACAAGTCTATTTATTGTGTAACTTATTATTTAATGAAGTATTACTTTGTCATATTCTTTATAACAGTGATTCTCAACCTTCTTAGCTCCGCAATCCCCCTCAAATAGTAAATATAAATAAAATTAATATTTTGCGATCTCCCCACCCCACCCCATTCAAAAGAATAATAACAGTAAGCCTTACTATTACTAATTGAATTTTGATTGTAATTATAAATTAAATTTTTTTAAATATTATATAATCACATTGCTCTAATTTTATACATTAAGAAACTACTGACAATATAAAAAATGTAATACAACTATTCCTATTATTTTGTGTCACTGCATTTATAGTGATGGGTATGAACATGCATGTATGATGTGTACATACATGAGCAATTTACAAGTTCCAACTTGATGTGTAAGAATAATTTGATCTTCTATAATACTCACTGTGAGAGCATGTTTGAACATGCATGTGGATGCGTTTGAACAAGTTGTGCTGTCAGTAGTATAAAAGAGGCACTGGCGATTGCACCACTTCAGTTAAGTTGCGAATGTGAAGTATGCATCTGGTGCTTTTATTTTAGTGTGCAGTCAACTGTGAAACTAAAATTTTTTTTTAAATTTCTAATGCGAAATGGATAAATTTGTGAAAAAACGAAGTGAGCCATCTACATCCAGTAAATCGATTGGTAAAAAGATAAGGTTGTGCAATGACAGTTATTTAAATTATGATTTCACCTCATTGGATGGAAAGCCACAGTGTATTGTTTGCTCTTAAGTTCTCTCTGATGAAAGCATGAAGCCATCAAAATTAGTTAGACACTTGAAAACTAAACATCCAGCTCATAAAAACAAGCCCTTGGAATTTTTTGAAAGAAAATTACATACCTTGAGAAATCAACAAACTTCTCTTTGTAAGTTAAGCCATACTGATAAAAGTGTACTTGAAGCATCTTATCTCATAGCATTAAGAGTAGCTAAGATGCCCAAACCCCATACAATCACTGAAAACCTCATATTGCCTGCTGCAATTGATATGGTCAGTGTTTTAATAGGTGTGGAAGAAGCAAAAAAATTGAAAAAAATTTTGCTTTCTAACGACTCAATATCAAGGCAGATCAATGCCATGGCTGCCAATGTTTGCAATCAGATAATTCAGAAAGTGAGTTCAAGTGAATTTTTTAGTATTTAATTTGATGAATCAACAGATGTAGCAAACATGTCTCAGTTCTTATGTTTTGTGCGGTATGAATGCGATAGGGACACATCAATCAAAGAAAATATGTTGTTTTGCAAAACAGTACCAGGTCATGCAACAGGTGAATGNTTAATAGGTGTGGAAGAAGCAAAAAAATTGAAAAAAATTTTGCTTTCTAACGACTCAATATCAAGGCAGATCAATGCCATGGCTGCCAATGTTTGCAATCAGATAATTCAGAAAGTGAGTTCAAGTGAATTTTTTAGTATTTAATTTGATGAATCAACAGATGTAGCAAACATGTCTCAGTTCTTATGTTTTGTGCGGTATGAATGCGATAGGGACACATCAATCAAAGAAAATATGTTGTTTTGCAAAACAGTACCAGGTCATGCAACATGTGGACAATGTCTTTTTGATGTTTTTTATGAAGCTACAAGAAACTATACTAACATAGATTGGACAAAATGTTTTGCAGTATGTAGTGATGGTGCAAAGGTGATAACAGGAAAGAACAGTGGATTAATGAAAATATTAAGAGATCGTCTTATACCAAGGGCAGAATGAACGCACTGCTTCCTTTATAGACGTGCTCTTGTCACAAAAAATATGCTGGAGAATCTCAATCAAATTTTTTGTGTAGCTGTAAAGTTGGTTAATTTCATTAAAAGCCTACTGTTACAGAACAGGCTGTTTGCTGATGAAATGGGCAAAAATAAAAAAATGTCTTCTTTTCCATACAGAAGTTAGATGGTTATCACGAGGGAAAGTGTTAACCTGGGTATTGGAATTGCAAGATGAATTAATAATATTTTTCCAGGATAAACAAATGCCATTCTCATTGTTTTTACAGAATAATGAGTGTATGTTGTTGTTGGCTTACTTAGCTGATGTGTTTTCGCATTTAAACGACTTGAATGTGAATTTACAAGGATGTGATAAAGACATTTTATTAATGACAAAGTTCTTGCATTCATTAAGAAGCTTGATATCTGGAATATTTGCCTTCAAAGCAAAAATTTGGATATGTTCACACTCATTTCGGATTATATTGAGAAAAATTTGAATGAACAAGACACTATTATTCACCACAGTTTGGATTACATGAAGATGCATTTGTGTGCGCTAAAAACTCAGTTGGCGGAATATTGATATTTCTCGGAAGATAAAAATGATTTCTCGAAGAGCTGGGTACTGAATTTGTTTAGTGAAAACGTTGTTGCCGCAGCTAAGTTACCAGTTGAGATTCACGACCAGCTCATTGAAATGTCTGCCGACAAAACGCTACAACTGCAATTTACATCTGAAGATTTAACTACGTTTTGACTTGCTTCTCAACATAAATATGGAAATTTAGTCACAGAAGCATTGAAAATATTAATCCTTTTCGCCACATTTTATCTCTGTGAAAAGGATATTTCGTCCATGGTTGCACTAAAAACTAAATACAGGAATCGTCTTTTATCACTCAAAAACAATTTGCTCTTGTGTGTTTCTAACATAGATCCACGTATGGAGAAAATTTTAAATGAAAAACAAATGCAACCATTACATTAATTTCTTTTTTTTACATGTGTACAGTACATACCCCCTTTAATATCACTGCAACCCCCAGGTTGAGAAACGCTGCTTTAAAATATACAATATATCACAGTATTAATCTATATACATATATATATATATGTGTGTGTGTGTATAGATTAATACAGTGATATATTGTGATGGGAACAATGTCTTGAAAATTTTCCCATCATGAAAAAGACAAAATAGAAATGGCAGCATCTGGAATCAATGAATCTCACAAAATTTTTGAACAAGTGAGTGAAATGAAGGAGGAGTTGGCCTGGCGGAGAGTGAAACAAGCATGGTTGTGGATTGTGTTGAGAGTAGAGTGAAGCGAATGAAGATGAAAGGATTGAATTACCCAACCAATGGGAGGTTGAGTGAAGAGACCAGTGGATGAATGGATAAAACCACTGAACACTGCTAGTTGGTTGTGGGTTTGTGCTTCTCCAACAGGCTGTTCATGTGGAGGTTTTTAAGTTGATAACACCTAAATAAGGACCAGTTTCTCATAAAAGACCTCTCTGGAAGCTTTTCCCTCAGCAGATCACCTATGTGTCACATAGCTGTAACCAAGTAAATCCCCACATGTAGGGAGTAAGTGAGTGGAGTTGGCTTGCAGGGATTGAATTATCACAGAGTTTTTATGAATAGTCTATATTTGTAAGGTTTGCCGACTTTAAGGGGCGTACAATTTATCCCGCGTTAGAATGAGCCTAAGGGAAACCCCATATGTTGGCAGTGGTGAAGGAGGTAAATGAAGTACAAGTGTTTTACAAGAGAAAACCCGTTTATTTGTTTGAATTCATGCTTACATCAATATTGGACAATTCCAAAATCCCAGTGTTCCTATGAAACGGTAAGAGTTCGGGTGATTGGTCGTAGCCTGGGCGGACAAGAAGGATCGCTGGACAGTGCAGATGTTCGGTGTTAAGCTGCGGCGTCCTAGGTGATCAGCAGTAGCACAACACAATAGATAAAGCACAACTGTAGGCTTAATCCAGAGGAGACTCTCCTTCGACCTTGAAGTTCTGACTTTTATAGTTTTTCCTCCACTATTCGCATTTCGGATTGGTCCCTCATCCCATTCCTCGCTTCCCGATTGGTCTCTCCTTTGTCTCTAGGTGCAAGATGAAATCTTTTTGGGTTGCGGGAAAGGTCTGATTCGAGGTGTTCATCTGATACCTCTTTGTCGACTCTGCTCGGTGACTGTTTATAAAACAATAACACCTGCACTCATAACTCAAGCCATTGTTTATACCATTTTTTGACGTTTAAGAATTTAACAATCATTTTCGTCTTTCATCTATCAAAAATTCTCCTTTTTTTTTTTTTTTTTTGTTTGAAAAGGTGTATTTCGGCCAACCTTTTTATAGACTCGTGAGTCAATGATCTACGTATTTGAGTGTTCATGTTAGAGTTTGTCTTCCACTAAGACCTTGACAGATAATTTGACACATACTCAAACAGTTCCGAGTCTCGTTGTTTACATCTTGTGTCGCGCAAGAATTTCACGGTTTACTCAAGTTTGAACCTCGTCTGGGAACCCACATATTGAATCATGATATATCAAAACAAGTGAACCAAGTCTATGTGTGAGCAAGTGAAGAGAGCCATATAAGCATGGAATTGTAATGTTTTTCTGTGGGATGTTCAACTGATTTGAAAAAAAGTTTTTTGTTCTGAATCTGAAGGTTTTTTAAATGTGATTTGAATATGAAAGTGCATTTTGAAATGAATCTGAGCTGAAAACATTTTTCATATCTCATTATTTTACAAATTTTTAATTTCTTTTTTTGGTTAGGAATATGTAAGGTTATTACAACATTGGTGTGAATGGAATACTTGTTCTTACCAGTTTTTGGTTGCTAATTGTCATCTTTGTCTTGGTGAACCTCAAAAGGCATTTGACTTATTTTGTCAAGCTGCAGAAGGTATAAATAATGAACTATTTCTACATAATAAATTAATACAAGGCATCGAACAGACTTCATCGAGTTCCTTAATTGTTCAGTATTATTTAAAGGTAATCATCTTTAAACTTTATTTTTATCATTTTGTAATTTTATACTAATATATAAAATTTATTTAATTTTTGTCATCTAGGTTATTCAACTATTTGAATTTTTCAAACAACCAGAATATATAATTTTACTTGCCGATACTGCTATAAATGTTATCGAACCTGAAGATCCTAGTATTGTAAGTATTTTTAGTTTTATATCACCATATAACTCCTAAAAATATTTATTTCATAAAAAATTTTTTGCAGCCTGTTTTTTGGTCTTTAATTTTCAAGTATCATTTAGAATTAAATCATAATGAAGAAGCTTATACTGCTATGATAGGGAATCCAGACCCTATTCGGTAATTATTTTAAATTTAAATTATATAAATTTTGAATGAAAATAATTTATAGAAAATTTTTTTACAGAAGGAAAGATAGCCTTAGACAGTTTATTGTTGTTTTATGTGAAAGAAGAGAATTACAATCACTCATTGAATTTTCCTATGCAGACTTAAAGAATGATGTTGTAAACATCTTGGAATCACGTGCAAGATCAACAGATTTGTTAACACAGAATTATTACAGTATTCTTTATGCTTTTCATATACATAATAATAATTTTCGAAAAGGTAATTATGAAAATTTAAAATATAAAGTAGATTACTGTAGGATTGTAGAATTTTAAAATATAAAATTAGTATGTTTATTATATTAAATAAATCTAAAATTATTTACAGCTGCAAGTATAATGTATGAACATGCGTTAAGATTGAGCAGAGAAGTTTTTGGTCGTGAGAGTTTAGTAAAACAGGCTCAGTGTTATCTAGCTGTTTTGAATTGTTTAAGGCTCATTGATCAACAGTATGCTTGGATTGTTAAACCAATACCAACTGTTACAGACAATGTATATTATAATTTTTTTACATTATCATTATATGACATATTGTACAAATTAAGTTTTTTTCTACTTTTTATTTTGTAGAAAGATGAACCTATAAATGTGTCCCCAAAAAGGAATTTTGACGGTGAAAGAATACCACAATCTGGTAAGTTTTACACTCATAATTGAAAATAACAGTAATATACAAGGTCAGGCAATTAAGTTTGAAAATATTCTTTTCCAATTCAATATACTTTGTACAGCATATTCATACCGATTGTGAAATAGATGCTGAAGTCATAATGTAAGGCCCTTGAAAATTTATTTTACTTCCAATTCCTTTCTCCCTTTTATTTTTCAGGTAATTAGGTAATTTTTCTAAATTCTCATGAGTTAAAAAAATTATCATTTCTGATCAGTTTTCAAAGTTCTTTGCACAAGTTCAATTGCTGTTGCTTTTATCTAAATACTTTTTGGTACTTAAAAATGTAGACAGATGCAAATTCACAATGTTGTTGTTTACATAATAATAAATAGAGTTGAAGTAGTCTTATACTACGTGAATTCAATTTTCACAACAGTATTACTAATCAAACTGGCAAGAAATTCAAAAATAATTTTGAAACTTAATTGTTTAACCATGTATATTTTATTTGGAAATAATTTAACTGAATATTGTTCTTATTATATAAGTGATTATATGATATTACTTCAATCATATTTCAATTGGAACAGTTACAAACTTTTTAGTAATACAGTAGACTCTATATATCTGCAGGAATTGGTATTGGGATCTCTCTTGGATAGTAAAATATTAAGATGTTCAAATCCCACAATGTAAAATAACATAGTATTTGAATATAACCTACCCACATCTATATAATCGTTTCTAGATAACTTATAATACTTAATACTGTGTAAATGTTATGTAAACTGTTGTTATACTGTACTGTTCAGGAAATAGTGAAAAGTAAAGTCTGTACATATTCAGTACAAATGCAACTATTGTAACCTAACTAAATTACGGCCTTTAGATCACTTCAGAGAGCTCTGGTATATTCACCAAGTGTAGAAACTTAGTGTGGAAATCAAACAAACAAGGAGATTTGCAAAGATTTACTATCTACCATCTAAACTATTTTGGAGCTTAGTAAAGTGGTATGAGTACAATGAAGAAAAAGGAGGTGCCATAAGATATGAGATTCCTCAACATAATGGGTGGACATTGCAAGTATGCTTAGATTTATCAAGAAAGGAATTTGAGAATGATTATAAACAAACAGCCCAAAGTATATGACAAGATACCCAAAGAAATTGGTATGTAAGGGAAGGATGAGTAGTGTGTACAGCATTCCAGTTGAGTATGAGGACAGATGATACAAAAGTGCTACAACACTTGCCAACAGAATGAAAGAACAGAAAATTTTCAGAAAGGAAGGTTGAGTGACTCTGGAGAAGAACTTGTCAAAAAAAAGGTAAAAGTTAGGTAACAAGAAGAAAGAATTATTATATCCAATTTTAAGAATAGTGTCTTAAGGACACTAGCCACTAGTAATGCCCTAGTGTTGAATAAAAGGCAAGAAGAGAATGAGGTAGATCAGTGGTGTAACTCTGAGGATAGCCAGTCAGCATAGAGTATAGGGACAATAGATCATAATGTGCACATTGGCCAGGTCTTTCCATTTCAGTCACAATTAACAAACTGTTCACTTTTTATTTAATGGAGTTATTTTTACTATATTGTTACATTGTGGTTATGTTTTATCTTTAATGAAATAAAAAATTTAAAATGTTTAATGTTTGAGTCCATTACATACCATTGTAAATTTTTCTAGCTTGTTCTACATTTGAATTTAAGTGTTCAGTCTGACAATCAGATAAAACAGTCTTGAAAAATGTTTAATTGAAAATAAATAGGCTCTTCAATTTCTGTAATGATTGTTTGAATCTTAACATTGGGGAGCTGATGATTTCAAGAGAGAGTCTTGCTCCCCAATCATCAGCTCCCCAATTCAAAGAAAGTCTTTGAATGATTTGCAAAATTATGTTCTTTTTACTATTTATTAATATAAATATATATTGCCATAATTATTATTATTATAAGAATTATTGATATATATTTAGATTTGAAGTGCAGACAAAAGTATTTTATTAAAATTCTATATTATTGTAATAGGTACAACTAAGATGGAAGTACTAGAAATTGAAGATATTAAACATGAGTATGACTTAGTTCATGCAAGACTCAAACTATTGCAAAATGATTCTTCTCCTACCAATATTGCAGCAAGTTTATTATCTCCTGGTGAAACAGTTACACTTCTTGTTAACTCTGGTTTTTATGATGCAGCAATACATATATGTCAGTCTTTCAATTTATCATATGTACCAGTGTTTGATGGTATTGCAGAAAAGTTAGTTTTGAATCTAGTATAGTTTTGTTTAATTTTATAACTATATTATCAGTATTAATAAATGCTCTGTTTTTTTTAGATGTTTAGAATTAATGCATCAGTATAATCAACAAGTTTTATGTGAAGCTTGGGAATGGTTAGGAGAAAATGAATTACCTTCTGTTCAGACAACGAGGTTAAAATATATCCAATTATAACAATTTTTATATAAAATATATACAAAGTTAAAATGAAATTTATTAATTATTTCAGTGCTGATAAATATCTTTGGTATCTATTGAAATATTATCTTAATAAATATGAAAAATCAAACCAGAGTATCTATCATCGATGTGTGGTCTCCAAATTATTAGCAGAAGGAAGCCACTTACCAATTTGGTTAAAATTGTCATACCAAGTAATGTTTTTTTTTTTTTTTTTAAGACTTTGGTTTATTATTAATTTTAAAAATAATTAATTTTTCTTTTTATTTTTTAAAGAGGCGTAACTTTCCTGAATTACTGTGGTTATATATAAGTTGTGATATGCTAGAAGATGCTACCCAATTAGCAATAGAATATATTGATGCTGTAAGGGGTGTTGGAAAAGAATATTTTGGATTAAAAGTAATAAAATAAAACATGTTTATTCATGCTTATTTCTATTTAAAAAATTTAAAAACAATTGAATTATTTTGACCAAATTTTTTAGTATGCATTACATGGTATGAATCCCCCAGTTTGGCTGCCATACACATTACTAGATATGTTATTAAATTCATTAGAAGAAAATCAAGAAGATGAAGTTTACAATGAGGTAAATAATTATTTTTTTTATGTATTAAGCTGATTTAGGTATAACATACAGATAGCCCTCGGTTTATGCCGGTTCAATTTACGCCGATTCATAATAACGCCGCTGCGCAATTCGCCGTTTTGAGGTGTAATTCCCCGATTTTCCCTATGCTAGACTGATTTTCATTTCAGTGTTGACATATTTACCGAGCCGCGACATTGTACATTCATTAAAACAAAGATTTTTATTAAATATATTTATTTTTTCTGTTTAATATTATTGGGTATGTATACATTTGCATTAAATTAATATTAAAATACTAAACGTTTAGGTACCCACGAGTCAAGATATTAAACTTAATAGTCCAATAAATGGCGTCTGAATCCATAGCGCCAGTGAATGTATCCCGTATCATTTCGTTCAGGAAAACACCTTACAATGCAAAAGCACTTCCGGCGATCACAAATTATCATTAGTGAGACAAATCTACTTCTCGTTGGCCAGACGATATTTATCTCTTCTTAGCCACCTTGAATTTTCTCACTCAAACTGACCTTATATATGCGCTACGGCGACCAGTGGTCGACCAATTAGTGTCTTCGCTCGTCTGTAGCTCTATGTCGGGTTAACGTATCCTTTCAACTAAGGAAAGTTAGACAATGTTGTGAGCGAAGTGCAAATGTTAAAAGGAGCATCATATTCGACCATATTCCAAAATTCTTAATGAAAGAAATCAAAAATGTAAACAATTAAAGATGGATACTTTTTCCAAAAAATGTAAGAAATTCGAAACTAAAATTTTTAAATAAAAACATTTTACTGTATTTTATGATAAAATACATTTTAAAAATTAAAAATTTATATGTATTTTGTATTATATTGTATTAATAAACAAAATTATTAGCTTATTTTTCACTTATGTAGAACCTAACCCCATACCTCACTGTAAATACAGGTTTGTTTTATGCCGATTCGATTTGCGCCGGCTTTTGTAGGAACAGAACTGCGGTGTAAACCGAGGGCTACCTGTATTTAGATTATATTTATTTTAAAAGAATGCATTGTATTTGAACTTATCAATGTTTGATATATATATATACAATATGCTAAGGCAAATTCTATTTTCAATTCATTAAGGTACTTGTGTAAAAATTACATTTACTTTTTTTATATATCTGTTGGTTCTGTTGTTTTTGCGTGTGTGAAAACCTAATGACCAGCTTCCAATCTGGAATTGATTAGGTTACGCTTATGTCTGGTGCGAGGTTCGGGGATGTCTTTTGTTTGGGTCAGTTAGACGAGCAGGACATGACCAGTATCCAGTCAAACCGTTATAACCAATTCTTTGTTAGGTATTAAATAGCGATTTTATGATTAGAGGTCTTTACACCCAAAGATCCTAATAATATCATTTTGAAGGTTATTTGACGTAGTGAACCATATTGCATCTATTTAATCATTCATTTCATTTTAAATAATTAGAAGCAAAAATGTGCCCAGTTATGTTCTTCCTGTAGTAGTACCCTTCCCTATCATACTGGTATTGAACTTGCCCTGTCCAGTATTAAAATATTCTGAAAATGGTACTTTGAGTTGACATTCGTTCATTCCTAATTACTTTTTTAATACTCATTGATTTCTGATTATTTTTAATTTTATATGATTAACAGAAAGATTATTGTAAATTAAATTTTGATCAGGAGGACTGACCTCATTTCTTTTGGATAAAATAGCACCTAAGCAAAGAATAACTCTTAAGGTGGGCCAAAAAAAAATGAAAAAATATGTTTGATTTAATGTCATTGACTTAGATATTAATTCTGCATATAGATTAACTGTGAAGGTATTTACATGGTTGTTCAAACCTTTTCATAGAAATAAAAGTTATGTATGTGATGAGGGAATCTATCAAAATGTGTTAATATTAGTCTGTTAGAATTTACCAGGGACAAAAATTTATCTATCTATCTGTACAGATTACACTAAGGCAAAAATCTTTTTCTATTCATTAAAGTACTAATACTTGTATACTGAGAAATTTCATAAGTTTTTATATAAATAAATTTATTTGCTTCTTTATTTTCCCTATTTATATGTAACTTAACAATTTTTTGTAGCAAATATTTTGTTAGGTACAACTAGTTTATACAGATAATCTTTATAATTAAGATATCAAATTTTTAGAATATATTCTGCCAGAACTAGTTAACACTAAAAGTTTGTTTGATATTTGTATAAAGAAAGCTCTTATGTCCAATATGTAAGTATAACTAATCTGGTGTACTTTAGTTATATGTATTTTTATACATATGATTTATAATTGTCAGCCTTAATTTACAAAACCTATTTGTTTTTTAATGTTTAACATTTCTGGAAAACTTTAATTTCATTATCACTAAGTATTTTAAACTACAGAATTTTTATATTCAGAACAAACAGTTTTGAATAAAGAAATTCTGTTATAATGTGTAGTATATTATAAAACAAAGAGGAGATTATTCTAAATACAGTGATGCCTCGTATAATGTACTTAATCCATTCCATCCGTTAAGTGAAAAGTCCGTTATACAAAACGCATTTTCCCATAGAAATACATGTTAAAACATATAATTCGTTCCGCAGCATAAAATAACCGTACTGTACCATAAAAAAAATGAAAATGGAGCAGTCACCAATTATGCCGGGTAGTCAGATGTTGTGAGGAGGAGGTGGAGGAACACTTTCTTCACACATTCATACAGATACAGACTTTTTACACATTGCAGCAAGTCTCTTTTTATTGTTTTTTAATCAGAGTCAGATTCAGGAGAGGCTAGCAGAGCTTGCAGGATCATCTCCTCTTGTTCCATCCTTTGTTTTTTGGCAGCTTGCTTTTTGAAAAACATGTCCAAGGTGGTCTGTTTCTCTCTCTTTTTCAACACCTGTTGGAAATGACGGGCAAGGGTGTCATTGTAGAGATCATTGATCCTGTTGGCCTCAGCTCTGTTTGGATAATGAGTGTTGGTAAACTCCTGAACCTCTCCCCATTTGACAAGGAAGTGTTTGTCAACTTTCACTCCTTATGATGATTTTTTGCTTTGTTTCAATTGAAATCACGTTTCTGTTTTTTTAGAAGCCATGATTTGCACAACACTTGAATAAATGTAAATACCCTGCACTGAGGTGATGTACAGTACAGTACATAATAAACAAGGGAGCAAGCTGAATTCCAATGGGAGCTCTGTACTTCAGATATAATAATAATATATTATAAAAATAGCAGATTGTCATTGGCAATGGCAAAAGAGTGGAAACATCATTCGCACTTGTTTGCCTCACGTAATTGCCAAATGGAAAGTCCGTTGTTTGCAGCCAGTCTGTTGCTCGAGTCGTGTAACAGCCAAACAGAAAGTCTGTTGTTCGCAGTGTCCTTTATTCGAGGCATACGTTATACGAGGCACCACTGTACAAATTCAGAACTTTGATATTTTATGCTATAAAAATTTTAAAATTGCCTCTGTTATTCTTTTTATATAAAACTATTTAAAATTGATTTTTCTGTAAAGCAATGAATTGAAATTTAAGAAAGAAAACATTCTATATCTGCAGATTAAAATCACCTAGTAATTGTTTAGTAAGGATTGCTTAACATAAATTTTAATATGGATTAGAGTTGAATTAATGATAAATGGAACCAAAAATTATATATACTATTTAGATACACAATACAATATATTGCATTAAGGTTTAAACTTTTTATTCAAGTTTTAGATAAAGATAAGCTCTGTTAATATGAATATAAAATATTCTATATCTGAAATAACTAAATATTCACAGTATGTTTTATGATAATAAGAATATGAATAAAGATATGTTCAGATATTACAAGTATAATGTAGTTATGAGAAAAATACTTTACAGTGTTAACAACAAAATTGACTTTAAAAAAAATCAAAGTTTAATCAGGAATAATTTTGTTGATTCATTACCAGGCCAAATGGAAATGGAATAACAATAATTTAGATCTAAATGTAGTAAATCTGATTTTTGGGCTGCAATTTGAAAAAAATTGTAGACCTATAAATTCCCACTGTCATCCATCTGTTCTTCCTTAATCTCGAGAATGAGAACGGTATTAAATAGATGAAAGACAAGACCAGATATAGAAAGCTTAGGGGCAGGAGGCCCTGATTAACTATATATGAACTTTTGATGCAAACCAGAAGTCACATTATTTCAATTCAAAACTTTTCCCTTGAAAGCAGTTAATAGATAACTGGCACACTCTATTGCTAACAGTAAAGTATGATGTACAGTACATGGGCAAGACACTACAGTACCAATTTGAGATGGAGAGCAAGCATATAGTTTAAATTAAATAAATTTTAAAAATATGATTAAAAAATTTCAGCTTGGCATTGTGACAATGTCACAATAAATAATTGCTCATTAGTAATAGAATATTAATATTAAAATTATAACATAATATAAAGAAACCCAAATAAAATGCAAATACTAATTTTAAAAAATAAAATAATAATAAAAAGTAAACCCAATAAATTTCTGAGATTAGTACTAAAAACAAATGCATAATTTCAAACTAGAGGCATCAAAAGTGTAGAAAATATTTTAATGATCTAACAAGCACTGTCCAGTGATTTGAGAGGATCATCCTAAAAGAATTACAAGAATTAAAATGTATACTGCCTCCTAAACAAAATTAGCTTCGAATCTGTACAAGTTATTATAATATAAAAGTCTGTGTGTCCTTATAACTCCTGCAGTTTTTGTTCAATCCAGATGAATTTTTGGTTATATTTGTTTTATGTTCTGATGGAAAGTTTAGGCTACTTTTTTGTGGAAATATTATCTATAAAATAAACATTTATTGATTTGGGATCAGTGATTGCATTTATGTTGCAGTGACATCAGTAATGTCATTTAGTTCATGCTTGACAAGGTAAGCATAAAATTGATCAGGTAAATTCTAGATCTAAAAGAATAAGAACAACTAAGACCCCTGAAGGCTGTGAAGTCCAACTTGAGCAACATCGCAACATCAAGTAAGAAAGAATGGGTTTGTCAAGGGGGTGCAGTATATATATATATGTATGTATGTGTGTGTATGTGTACATACCACTAGAATTAATATTAATAAACATAGGAACTTTATAAACTCCAGATCTTTCCTGTAAAATGAAACTGTCCCTTTCATTTGTTATTGTGTCTAAGGATTTTTTTTTTTAATTTTAGGAATTCATGTCATAATCTTTTAAGTGAAAATTACATTGAATTATACCTGACAATAATATATTTTCCTGCCCATCTGCAAAATTATTGTTCAAAGGTGTGTAGATAGCAACAGAATATTATGTTGTGTAGAAATAAGAGATCAAAAGTGTTGTAACTGATAATGTTTGTAAAGGATAAAGAATATAAAAAGTGTTTGTTTTGATGAGATAGTACACCACTTGGTCAACTTGACATCATCGTCTTGATTGTGAAATGAAGGATTACATCAAGCTTATGTCCCAATAGACATTCATTCAGTTTGTTTTGCAACAATATGCTTATTATTTCAAGACAGATTAGATTAACTTCAGAAACAAAATTTAATTAGTAAGTGGATAGCAGTGTTGTTTCTTTACACATACTTTTTACCTTGTTATATTAAAGATCATTATAGTATAATTTAAATGTGGAACAGGAAGTTTTTTGTTAGACATAAAAGTCATTTCTGTAAGCATTAAATATATCTAGAGATTTAAAAAAAAAAATTGTTTTAAAATTTACAAATTGAAAATATTAAACTGTTTAATATCTTTACAGTAATTTATAAAATTTGTATTAAGTTCATAACATAAAGAAAAAACTTCAATAAACCATCAATAATACAACTTAAAAGATGTTTTCAGACAATATATTCTATACCATAGAAATGTTCAGATAGATCTAAATCAGATTAAATTATGGTAACTGTTTCATTAAAATAGGTGTATATTTTATTACAATTTGAAAAGAAAATTTTTTATAAATATAATTTTCAATTTAAAATTGATTAAATTAAAATCATTTATGCTATAAATTTTTCAGTTGTGCCAAAAATTGAAGGACAAGCTCTGTGAATATCAAGCTGAATTAGGATATGCTTCAAAAGCAACAGTCGAACTCTCAAGTCGGAAAACATTGTAGTGGTTAGAAATAAAAACATGAGGTACCACACACTGTACATGATTTGAAATTGTACAGTTTTGTGTTCAGTTATTTTATTATAACCTACAACTATTATGGGTGAAAATTTATACAGTTCTTTTAATGTTTGGAAGATTTTTATATATTGCAATTTTAATTACCCTAATAAGTGATGTATAAATGATTTTATGAACATCTATAACTTATAATAAATTTTTTAAAAGAGTGAACTGATTTGTTAAAGTATTTATTTTGATTTAAACTAACATTAGTAATATCCATCTCTAGATATGTTTGTTAGTCAAATAATATCCAATTATCATTTTTTTCTTCAGAACTGGAATGTTTTTTGATGTCAATGAAGGATTGGTAACAGATGATGATAAATTATGAAAATCTTCAGAAAGTTTTTATTTTTATTAATTAACACTTTATCAGAACAAATTTATTTAATGATATATAAGGATAAAGAACCAATTAATAAAATTAAATGATTTAAAATAATTATTAATAGTTCTTGTTTTAATTTACTTTATCCATTATACCAATATAATTTTGAGAAATTAACAAATGGTTTTTATTAATTTTTAAATGAAATTTTATTTATAAGATTATTTTTTTTAATTAAAACATTTTGTTAATGAAGAAATATTAAAATATTTTCAACTCTTTAAATATAACTATCGGTATCTATTAAAACATTATATCTGATGACATGGGATGTGGTAAATATTTAAAATTCATTGTGTGTTAAAATATGCAAAATTTATTAATTAAAAATCTTGAAAAAGTTTTTTAAAATTGCCCTAAAATAATTACAGATGACTTGATCACTTTTCATTGTAGAAACTTGATTAATTTCTACAGTTTTGTATTTATTTCAGGACATTTTTTAGAAGCTTTCAATTTTTTTAAGAATAATCATCATTGTCATTTTATTTGTACAGCATTTATTGCATTTACTAGTTTTTGATTATTTTTTTCTGAAAATTGTTTTATTGAATTCTCAAAAAGATAAAAATACCAAAATTTAGTTGTTGCATTATATATTGTCAGATTTACATTACATAAAGAAAACAAAAGATATTAAGTCTTTATCGTTAAAAATTGGAAGCAATTTATTTTGTTTCTAAAAATTACCAATTTATTTGTGATTAAATGTTTTAAATTTTTGAATGACATGATTTTTTCATATATTTCTTCTAAATATTTTATTTAACCTTACCAATATATCTTAAAAATAAACATAAACTGTCATTATTTGAAAAAATTAATAAAATATACCACATGAGATTGTTCCAAGGAAAATGATCATATTTATACAAAAATAATTTGAATTCTGTGCCTAGCATTTTGCATTAATTATATCAATTGTCTTTAAAGATATAATAAAGTAATTAAAAATATACCTAAGACAGGAACAAATTAATATATTAGATAATCACAAATAAAATTATCATCAATAAATGAACATTATAAAATGTATTAAGCTCTTTATAAATATATTGTAAATATTATATCCAGATCATTTGCAATGAAAAGGCTGAATATGTTCAAATATAATTATCCATGAATCTTCCAGATTTAATAGATGCTAAAACGATCTGAAAGTGATGTTAGCAATGATATTAAAATTTAATATTTAAAATAATTTTATTCTACTAAAGAAAATATTCATTTAAATTGAAGCAAGTAGTAATTTGAAAGTTATAGGATCCAATTTATTCACAGTAACTATATATAATTTAGTAAAATAATAGAGTTGCGGAAGTATATCTCAGAAGGTTATATTTTAGTCAAAGCATTCATTTAAAGTAATTTACATCTCTCTGAAAGATTTCAATTTGCTTTATTATTATTTAACTGCCGTTTTTAAAAAATAACAGTTAGGAACCCAGACAGGGAGATGGTTCTTAGAATGTAGACGAGGCGTGGTAGTGTGAAGTATCTCCTTTCATTAATGTTCCTTTACTCCAGTTCGTTAAGGAGAGATCTATAGCTGTTATCGGACACCTCATTCTTCACTTCACCTTCTGGACTTGTCTTGAGCTATATCCACTCAACTGAGCAGAAAAATATCCTCCCAATGATGATCTGAAAATATATACGGTAACTTCTTTCTTACATGTGTTCGTTATGTTGTCCGGAAATAGCCATCAAGAATATCCGGGAGGTCCTAGTGTTTGATACAAGCAGATGTTAAATAAATTTCACCGATGCATTATTATTTGATGAGGCATTTGAAATGCTTATCTAGTAAATGTGGTGTCTGATTGTTGCGTCAAGAAGCTTTTTTTCAAGTTATTTCTTGAAAGATTAGTTTTAAAATCAACTAACTACACGATAATTTTTATATAAAGATTTAAATTATGCGTATTTTATCATCACATAAAATAGATTAATGTATTTATTATTATTATTTCAGATATTTAAATTATAAATTTCCAACATAAGAAAAAATTTCATTTATATTTAATAGGTATAACATTTAAATAAAAATTGTTGAGGTTATAGTGCGAATTAGTTATAGTATGGGTTACTAGATGGCAGCGGAGAGATCGGTGCGTGTTGGTGGGTTTTTAATCGATCTTAATCATGATAAACGCTCAGGCAGGAACAAATCATCAATAAATTATTAATAGCTTAATAGAATGTCATCGAAAATTAAATAATAGAAGAAGAAAGTATTTTTCTTTAAGTTAAAAACTAATGTTAGTGATTCGCACGGGACCAATCGTCGTTTAGGTAACGAAAAACACGATTTTGTGCAATAACTCCTTTTAAACTCGTTTTTAGAAAACCTGCGGCTTTTTTCCTGTGAATTGGTTTCACGTTTTAAATGGAATCATAAATTACATTCTACGTAACGTGATTATTTTATGATAATCTAATAGAATATTCTGTGTATATTTTGACATTTGAAGACATTTGAAAAATTCTACTTTATGATTTATATGAATTAAAAATATTTTTTAAATTAATGGTATGATGAGAAATTTCAGTTAACACGAATACAAATGGATAGGGACATTTAGTTTTAACAGAAATAACCATAGTTTTCCATTAGCAAGATTTTAAAACTAATAAGAGAAATTTATCATCATAAATGAGATGTAACAAATTTTAATAAACTCCGATTATTAAGATTATGTAAAGTTTTCATATCTAAAATTTATGATATTTTTATAAATTTGCTATTTACATTAAATGGTTTTTTGAAAAATTACTTTTCGTTTTATTCATAACATCTTGATATAATATCAAACAGTTTAATAAATATTTAACTATTCAATTGCAAAACGAGTCAAAATTTATTAGTTCATAATTAAGATGTATTAGAAAATTATTTCTTTCCTTATTTTGAGACTGTTTACGAATACTTTCTTTTATTTTAGAGGAATGGATAAACTATGAAATAAAGGGTCTAGATTCAAATATTTAACCTTTTTTCATGAGCGTAATTTGTTCGTCTCTTTCATTTCGGGACGAATACTTAATTTTGCCTGACACACATTACACGAATCCCGGTTATTTGATTTGTCGATGCGATACAACGGCACAGTAAGTTGTTGTCTGTTAGCACATCCTATCAACAAATCCAATCCTCGCTTATATCAGAAAACAAAACTAAATTTAGTTTTAAATATTCTTGACGTATTAGAAAAATAAAGTGACCTAGTGTTCGTGTTCAATGCAATTTGTCAATCTTCAAATCCTGTTCGTAACATCAAATGCATAGAGCAGTGTGGTATTTCTAGAAACGAATCTTATGCATTATTGAATAAATTTTAATCAATCCATTTTTCTATAATACTCATCAAATTTCCGTTAATATGCATTGCATCCCATTGTCATAATAACCACGCAATGCTAAACGCATTTCGAAACTATTTCCTTGGTACTTGGCATTCCTGCACGCAACAAAATAAAATGTATTTTGTAATTATTCGTTTTGAGTTAGATTTTAGATTACTTTTTGTTACGATAAAAGAAAATATACATTAAGTTTGGTTTAATTTGATTTTGTTTTTGTTATATAATATTTAAATAACGATAAAGATAATAAATTATGATAAAAATTTATAAAGGCTGATCGAAATATTACGGTAAATTTTGAATTCATTGGCTAATACAAATGCTTAAAATATTTATAATTAGAACTTTAATTCTGGAAACGTACTTCAATAAAGAATTTAAAGAAGACGTTCTTTTAGCAAATATTATGAATTAATGAAAAGAAATCCTGATATTTTATTCGTAATAATTCGTTTGACGTTAATTATTGGAAGTTGATTATGAATTTGAGTATTAAATTTTGTTTATAAGCAATTAAACTTGTATTTGTGGTTTTTTTTAATAATCTAATTAATATCATTAATCGTTTCTTTAATTAAAAATAACAATGATAAATTATAAAATAACTGGAATTGTTTAAAATTCTTTTAAAATTGAAGATATGCAGCAATCGATTTCTTATCCTTAATAAATTGAGGATAAGTAATTGATTATTGCATACTCTGCATTTTGTAATTTATTTATATTTTAACATTTTAGCAAACTACGTTAGAAAATACAGAAATCAAGATAAATAGAAAAGTGCTTTTTTTAATCATTTATTGAATCTGCCAGAATTTGAAAAATCGGAAATTGTTTCACTCTGCTAACTTGTTGATATGCAAAATAGAAAATTAATAATAATAATATTTCCAACACAATGCCCATTTCATCTGAAATCCTAAATAAATATATTCCTTTACTATCTGATATTTGTAGTAAATTTACAGAATTTTATTAAATAATTACGGATGGATTGAAAGAAGTCTTGGACGAGATTCGTCGTGACGATATTAAACAGCTCTGAAAATTAGATTTTTGAGCAGAAATTAATTTCGAATGGGTGTAATTTTATTTTAATAATAAGATTAATCTCACGCCTCTCGAGTTTTCTAAAAGTATCTCCGTATTCGATTCATTTCCAACAAACTTATAAACATATTTTGTTTTCGAAAACAAGTGAACCGAGTGAACGTAAAATATTTATTTGTTAATAGTTTTCGATATAATTTAATTCCCATGACGTTATCTTCGTAATAATATCTAAATGTATTATATTATATAATGTTATATTGTATCTTATATTAATGATTAAGGCACTAGTTACAAATGTTTC